CAACGCGTGCGGTCGACTCTCTACAGGGCAGGTTTTAAGACATAGGATGTTTAAATACATTGGATCTTTAATACAGATTAAGTTACGAATAACTCAATGCATAAATTCATCATTGTCCTTAACACTAAAGCCCTTATGATGCTTAAAATATGATCCGCACGCGGAGCATGTACTAAAAACGGCACTCTACATGCCTGCGCGCATCCCGAGACGCCAGCCAGCGAGGCGGCGACGGGCCTGCGAGGAGGCGGCGACGGGCGAGCGCCGGGCGACGCCCCGCAGCCGCCGAGGCCGGCGCACGAGGCGGCGCCGAGGCCTCGACGGGCGGGCAGGCGGCCGCAGGCCCGGCACGCCGGGCCGGCGCGCTCTGGGCGGCGGGGGGGCGGCGGCCCGCCCGCAGAGCCTGAGCCAGGGCGCCGCCTCGTTCCTCCTCCCTCCTCCTCCTCCTCCGCCTCCTCCTCCTCCTCCTCTTCCTCCTCCTCCTCCTCCTCCCTCCTCCTCCTCCTCCTCCTCCTCCTCCTCCTCCTCCTCCTCCTCCTCCTCCTCCTCCTCCTCCTCCTCCTCCTCCTCCTCCTCCTCCTCCTCCTCCTCCCCCTCGCACGAGCAGCAGCAGACCTCCCCCCTCTTCGATGCAGGCACTGTGCGGGAAGAGCACAGGCGAGAGGGACGGGTCAGCGACCTGGCCATGATCGGGGGACGGGGATGGTGCCGATAGGCGGGGGCGACTGCGACGGGCGCCGAGGCGCCGTGCCCTACATGGCACTGCTTTGCACGGCGCTGCGTGGCACTGCATTGCGCGGCAGACCATTGAACAGCATACCAGTGCACAGCATGGCGCTGCTTCGCACGGCCAAACAACGCATAGCATAGCCTGGCAGCGCATGGCATTGCGCCGCCTAGCACGGCATATAATGGTACAGCACAAGAGCCGAGCGTGGTGTGCACTGACATTGCGAAGAATCCCCGAGGACCCCTGGGGACCCCGAACCCCCGTGGGGCCCCGAGAAACCCCCGAGAAAACCCATGGCGACCCAAGGGGGACAGGATAGCCGCAACGGGCCCTCATCCACGAAAAGAACGAGAACCCATGAGGCGAACGATAATAAAGTGGGAAAAGACTGGCCTTGAGCATCCCATGTACAGGCGAGCATGAGCAGAGGAGGCAGGAGGGCAGTACTCACAGTGAGCACTCGTGGGCGGGCGGGAGGAAGGTGGCGGGCGCCGAAGCGACAAGCGCCGCAGGGGACGACCGAACAAGTGTCCCGAGCAGAGGCGCGCTCCGTGAAGCACGATGCCGAATCCTGCGCAAGAAGGGATCGAGGTCACCCGCCTTTGCCTACCTACCAGGCCACCCCAAGCCAACCCGAAGACCCGAATTTCGCCCGAATTTCGTGTCGGGAAGGGTACGGGCTTCAGATGTGGTTTTTCAATGTTCCCATTTCGCCCGAATTTCGTGCTGGGGGGGTGGGTACGGGCTTCATATGTGGTTTTTCAATGTTCCCCGACCCCCCCCCCCCACCCACACTGGAAATGGAGGGCAAATCGGGGCCTTCGGGTTGGGTTGGGGTGGCTTGGTGGATGGTGAACCTTCGCGCATCGCGCCCAGCGATGCGCGACGCGCGGATGTCGTCTGGCCCCCGCGCGGCCGCCCTGGAGAGGGGCGGCTCTCAAGCCCAGGCCGCGGCGCGCGAGATGCGACCATCTTTGCGCCCCTGGAGGTGACCTAGGAGATACCCGCGAATCGACAGGAAATCCCAACCGTGAGTGTGAGAGATACGGTCCAGAACTGTTGCTCAGCGTGTCACGGCGGCGGCAGCGGCGACACGGAAGAGGGGAGAAGGAGTGGAGGGACCGGTCAACGACCCAACCGTGATCAGGGCAAAGATTGCTCAGAATGGGCAAACGCAGAAAGGAGAAAAAAGAGAGGGGAGATGCCGCAGCCATCACTCCCTTCACCTCCGCCTCCTATCCCCCATCACTCCTGCATCTCAAACGGCTCCTGGATTGGCCAGGATCTTCCAACAGCCCGACCCTGTGCGCGCGCTTCTGTGAGCCCGAGGAGTCAATCCCAGTCTCGAGCAGGGAGAGGAGGAGGAGGAGGAGGAGGAGGAGGAGGAGGAGGAGGAGGAGGCAAGCTAGGTGCGCTCGCGTCATATCTGACGTCCTACCCCTCCCTCCCATCCCTTACCATGGCGCTGATTTTCTCTATCCGCGGACGCGTGTCGTAGCGGACCTGTGGCTCCGCGCGCGCGTGCGTAGTGGGTGGTGGTGCACGTGCGTGCGTGCGTGCGTGTGTGCGTGGTTGTCGTGGTGTGGTGGTGGTGGTGGTGGTGGGTGGTGGGTGGTGGTGGTGGTGGGTGGTGGTGATGGTGGTGGTGGTGGTGCTGGTGGTGGTGGTGCTGGTGGTGTGGTGGTGGTGGTGGTGTGGTGGTGGTGGTGGTGGTGGTGGTGGTGGTGGTGGTGGTGGTGGTGGTGGTGGTGGTGGTGGTGGTGGTGGTGGTGGTGGTGGTGGTGGTGGCGGTGCGGCGCGGTGGTGGCGGGCGGATGGGCGCGCGAGAAAAGGCCCGCGCTGGGGCGAGAACGCCATCCTGAACGACGGAGGCCAAACACCGATCCGAAAATGAGGCCCACGCTGCAGCGGGAGCACGATTCGGAACGATTCGGGAGCAGAAATGAGGCCGGCGCCTCAACGAGAGCAGCATTTTGGGAAAAAATGACGCCGGCGCCTCAGCGAGAGTCGTTTCCCGGGATTTCCTGGGCATCCTGTGTAAAAAACAATACGCGGAGGGTGCGCGGCCATCACCCGGACGCCAGCAGGGGAAGTGGGAGAATATATTCATATTGAGTAATTCTAGAGGGAGGAGGAGGAGGAGGAGGAGGAGGAGGAGGAGGAGGAGGAGGAGGAGGAGGAGGAGGAGATAGGGAGGAGGAGGGAGGAGGGAGGAGGGAGGAGGGAGGAGGAGGGAGCAGAGAGGCAGGTTTCAGAGGAGGCGAGGCCTGGGTGGGTGGGCGCCGGCCAAACGCGGAGCCTCTCGGCCTGCCGGGCCCCTGGGACCCCCTCGAGGCCCCCTCCGCGGGCCTGGAAGAGGCGCCCTTCCTCGAGGCCCCCCTCGAGGCCCCCTCGAGGCCCCCTCGAGGCCCCCTTCCTCCCCCCCTTCTGCTTTCCTCGCCTTTGAAGGGCGCTCCAGCCTCAGCTCCAGGAAGGGACAGAATTGGCGGCGAGCGAGGGGGGGAAATGAGGAGGAGGAGGAGGCCTTCTCGGAAGGCGGCGGGTCTTCTCGGAAGCCCTCGCGCCTTCTGAGAGGAGTCTCGTGTCTTCGGAGCAAGCTTCGAAAACTTCTCAGAAGGCTTGGGGACTTCCGATCGGCGGTGGACAAACCTCCCTTTAGTAAACCTCCCCCTAGCGAAAACGGCCCAGGACCGAATTCGGCGGACCTGGACCCGCAAAAATGACGGCCGCAACGCCCTCTCGCGAACCGAACACGGCCGATTCCTCAATCGACGCGTCAGGGCAGGAGGTCTGTCCACCCCCCGATCCGAGCCTTCTGAGAAGGCCCGCCCCTCCTCACTTCCCCCCCTCGCTCGCCTAGAGGCCTCCTAGATGGGGTCGGAGTAGATGGAGTCGGAGGATCACACCGCATCGCCGATACATCGGCGAGGCATCGGCGATGCATCGGCGATGCACAGGCGATGCACCGGCGACGTCGGCGGTGCATCGTCGACGTCGACGTGAAGCAAATCGGGCTGCACATCGAGCCGCATCCCCGATGTATCGGCGGTGCGGCGCGATCCTCCGAGCCCACCTACTCCGACCCCATCTGGGAGGCCTCGCGCGCCGCCGACGGAGAGGAGGGCGCAGGCACGACCCGAGGAGGGATCTGGCGGAGCCCACGGCGGCTCTCCCCGCCCGGCCCGGGCCCACCGATAAGCTCGCTCTCTTCCTGGGGCCCCCCTCCGGGGCCCCGTGCTGCCGGGCGGGTCCGGCCGTGGCGACGAGACGCCTCCCCCTACAGGGGGAATTTTCGACGAACAAGTAATGAAAATACCTCCGAACAGACTATTTTCGGACTATTTTGGTATCCTTTTTGGGGTATCTTTCATTGTTCGTCGAGAACCCCCCTGTAGGGGGACAGGCCCGACCTAACACCGAGGCCTGCCAGAAACGAAGTACGCCGGGGAGGGCCGCTGCTGACTCGCCCGGCCCAGGCCCGCCGAAGCTCGCTCGATCCGGGGAGCCCCCTCCGGGGCCCCTCCGCGGGGCCCCGTCCTGCCGGGCGGGTCCGGCCGTGGCGGCGAGAGACGCCTCCCAACAGGCCTGCCGGACGCGAAGCAAGACGCCGGGGAGGGCCGCCGCCGCCCCTCGCCCGGCCCTCGCCCGAGGGGCAGCGTCCAGGAGGGGGGCGGCTCCCCTGACCTTCCAGAGTGCTAAAAAATAGCACTCCAGACCTGTAGATCTATCTGGACTGCCCCAAACCTCGACAGGAACGAGGACGTCGACGTCCTGGTGCTATTTCTGTTAGCCCTCCTGGAAGGTCGGGGTCTTCGAGGGGGGAAGGGGGGCGGGCAACGACCTATAGAGGCGGCGATCCGCCGCCGACACACTGGCGCAAAAAGGCCCAGATGGCGAGGCCGCGCGCTCCTGGGCGGGGCGGGCTCTCGGGTCCCTAACTATCGGCGATCCGAGGGCGATTGGGGGTGGATGCGTCCCCCTCTGGGCCGTTCCCACCCCCCCCCTGACTACCTACCAGACCACCCCAACCCAACCCGAAGACCCGAATTTGACCCGAATTTCGGGTTGGGAGGGGTACGGATACCATGTGTTTTTTCAACGTTCCCCGACCCCCCCCCACTGGAAATCGAGGATAAATTTGGGCCTTCGGGTTGGGTTGGGGTGGTTTGGTGGGTGGTGACCCCCCGCCCTCACGCTGCCCCTGATCTCTCGAGGGGCGAGCCACGGCAGGGCTGCGGGTGCCGCTGTGAGAGAGAGAGGGCGGCGGGTCCGGCTGCAGCTGGTCGATCATGAAGAACGTGCCGCCAGCGCCGCGGAGCCCCTCGAAGCGCGAGAGCACGTTGGCGGGCGTCTCGGTGGCGACGTAGCCGTCGAACCAGAGCCGGCAGGCGATGCAGTCGATGCCCTTGGCGGCGCCGGCGCGTGCCAGGGTGGGACACCGCTTCGCGACCTCGGGGCTCCCCTGCATGACCGCTCGCATGCCCCCGGCGCCGAGGGCGAGCACGACGCCATCGAGGTCGGCGATGTCGTAGGGGGAGCCGCCCTTCTCTCTGCAGCGCACTGCGGAAATCCGGCCGTTCGCCGACATCGACAGGCCTTCCGCGAAGGTGTTGCCGCGCACGTCAAGCCCGTATTCCTCCACCAGATGAGCCACCAGAGGCTGCACGAGCGTCGTGGGGACCGTGCCCTTCCGCAGCCATCGCACATCGAACGAGGTCTGGTGCGCCAGAGCGTAGAAGTAGAGCAGCTCCATCGTGACTGCTGCGGAGAGCTCCTCGGGCGGCTTGAACAGCCCCACCAGGAGCGTTGGCTTCAGGAAATCATCCACGAGACGCTGGCTGACACCGCAGCGCAGGAAGAGCTCGTGGGCGGTCATGCGATCGTAGGCCGCCAGGGTCTCCTAAAACAGAGCACAGGGATCCTACTCCTCCTCCTCCTCCTCCTCCTCCTCCTCCTCCTCCTCCTCCTCCTCCTCCTCCTCCTCTTCCTCCTCCTCCTCCTCCTCCTCCTCCTCCTCCTCCTCCTCCTCTTCCTCCTCCTCATCCTCCTCCTCTCCTCCTCTCCACTCCTCAGACTCCTCCTCCCCCACGTCCTCCTCCTCCTGCTCCCCCTCC